TTTAATCTTGTTTCTCTTGTTTTTAGAATTTTGGGTATATGGTTTACATACTTAAAAATGTCTTGTTCTTCTACTGTATGATTTTTAGAGAAGTGAGAACTTTTATTTGTCATTAGAATCAAGCTTTTATTACAGGTTTAGCAGCTGACAGAAAACCCAGATTAGGTTTCTGTCCGCTTAGCGGTCGACCGGTGCGGTCGACCGCTGAGCTCGCTGTAGGGGCAGAAATAGTCTGTGGTCGACCGCACCGGTCGACCGCGACGTTCTGCCGGTCGACCGAAATGCCTAGCGGTCGACCGCCAGGCTCGTATCAGAGTGCGGTCGACCGAGTCGGTCGACCGCCGCACTGTCTGTTGCAAATTCCTGTTTTGTGTATTTTTGAGTATTTTACTCATGTTCGAGTGTTTGGTTGGATTATCTGACTTTGGTTTTTAGTCTTATTATGTACCCAGGCATGATAGATGACCTGAGGGTATAAATTGGGGACTTACACACTGATTTGAGTGGGGATTTATATAAGTAGATTTCAGTATATGTCACAGTGATATTTTTTCACCTTTTCACAGTCCTCGTGCTGGACTATAATCCATAGAAGTCCTCGTGTTGGACTATAATCCATTTCAGTCCTCGTGTTGGACATTTGCTACTTATTCCATGAGTTTGAAAACTACAATATATAGTTCCTGTTTCGGACCTAGTTCTTAACCCTGAATATGACTTTCTCACAGAAGATCATGACATGATAGTTATGTAGATTTTGACATGATACTTATGTAAATTTTAACATGATATTCATGTAGGCTATGATATGGCACTGCACTTATGTTCTGAGATTAGTTGTATTTCTTTCATTATTGTTCCTGTATTAGAACCTCGGGTTTGGTGTTTAGGGATTTACAACTTGAGATACAAGGTATATACATGAGGGTTTCCTTGTTTGGATTATTTCGCTCGACGTACCTATGCTCGTGTTGTAAATTCCTAAATACTAAAATCCTCTTTAGTGAGATCAATGATTTTAGATCTATTATGTATTGTCTATATTTTCTTATACGACGAGCCCTGTTCCCTTGGGGTTGGTTGTGATGTTACTCGCTAGCGCTTTGACGCTCGTTGTCCCTCCCCCTTTCAGGTAACGAGCCAGGAGCCCGGAGAGTCGCAGGTTGATGGCGATGCATTTTAGCTTCAGCTGTCTAGCTAGTTATATATTTTCTTTTGGAGTTCCACAGTAGACTTGTGTTTAGACATTTGAGAGTCTTGTTCTAGAAGTTGTAAAGGCTGTGTGCCTTATTTCCTTCTTGTCAGATATTTGTATTTGAGACTTGTCGAGTTTTCCAGTTTATCTACTCAGATCTTGATTATATGTTTCTGTTTGTTGGATGATGAGACATTAAGTTGATTATTATCATTTCATCAGTCTTCTTGTATTATCTATTACTTGCTTTTGTACCTACACCTGTTGTTGACTCTACTAGATAGATGTTAATTGTGATGGTGAAACATGTTGTTGCACGGTGTGGTGCATGGCAGGTTTGACATTCTTGGTTTCACCTTGGACTGCAGCATTGTGTGAACCCAGGGGCGTCACAGGGTGCGTGCGTGCGTGTTGATGGTGGTGTTGATAGTGCGTGCGTGGTGAGAGAATTGTGAGTGGGGTTATGGTGCGTGCGTGCATGGTGAGAGAATTGTGCATGCGTGCGTATAATACATAAGTAAGAATATGCCATGATATTCTCTCTAAAACATATAACACATAAGAATATGCCATGATACTCTCTCATGTTGCTAAACTTGCATGTCGTGCCATGTTGGCTTATAGTTTGTTACTTTACTGCAAAATTCAGTTTTTGATGATGTATATTGCTTTATAACTCTTGTTAATGTTTGATTTATATTTGCAGGCCGGGACTTCTAGAGAAGGTGGAACCGGGGGTAGTCATGGTGGAGCTAGTGATGAGGAATAATTTGTAATATTTTAACTTTGAAAACAATGAATGTATTTGTAAAAATAATATGTAATAATTTATTTATTTTTATTGAAATATGTGTTATATATGCGTGATATTGTTGATTGAACAAGGTTTAAATTTTTTTATGCTATTGTATAGTTTTTTAATTTTCAGAGCATTTTTAAAAAAATATGGGTTACTTTTAGCAACGGATAGGCCGTCGCTAAAATGTTGGACCCTAGAGGGGGGGGTGATTAGGGTCAAGAGGCTCTAATATGCAATAAAAAATACAGTACAAGCAAACCACAAAACAGTAATGCGATAAAAGAAAGAGAGATAGAGTTAGGAGTTCGTTATCCTTGACGCGCGATGTGTTAACGAGGTTCGGCCCTCTGGCCTACGTCCCCGCTCCCCACTCTCGAGGAGAAATCCACTACACACCCGGTTTGGAAGCCGGAACTTCGTCTACACAGCGATCTCCACAGATCTCTCTCACTACACAGTTTGATCTCAACAGATCACACCCTCACAGTAGATCTTACACAAGATCTCACCCTCACAACAGAAGAAAAGATGCAAGACTCTCTCTTTACACAGCCCCTATGGCAAAGAGAAAGATTACTGAAGCTGGGAAGTGAATCACACATCTTTTCAGACTCTCAGCTCAGACTGTGCCAAACACTAATAAGTGAAAGCACAGCGAACGAGGCAAAAACCGACCGTTTAAAAAAGTCGCGGCTGACCAAAGGGAAAATCCGGTTGACCGAAGAGAATTTCGGTCGACCGGAAAAAGCCTTCGGTCGACCGACCGAAAAATTCGGTCGACCGCGAGCAGCTAAGGAAATTTGGAAAAACAAGCAGAGACTCATCGGTCGACCGGCACGGTCGACCGATTAAAGATTGAAAATTCGGTCGACCGTACCGGTCGACTGACGACACTCTGGAAACATACCGAAGAAAGGTCATCGGATCGGTCGACCGGACCGGTCGACCGATTTCTGATACTTTCTGAAATCTGATTTTTGACCAACTTGAAATATTTGCAAAATATTTATTTGACCTCTGAAAATTCTGAAACTTTGTAAAATGTTTTTAATACTAAAAACAAACTGCTTGGAAAAAGAATTTTGCAGATAGGTACTCAAACTTGTGAAAAATAGTATTTTGTGAAAAACGCTTAAAAGCACAAGTTTAAAAACGTGTGTGTGATTCCCAATAGCTTCAAGTAAACTCAGTAACTCTTTGCCTACATTCTAGCACTAGAGAGAAAAACAAAAGAAAGCTAATATCCTCATATAGAGAGCAATATACTTGAGCTTTGATATAGCTTGAATCGGATGAAGCTTTTGATAGAATTTGTCGTTCTTGAAATAACGTTGCTTCATCTATTGGCCTCCTCCTCCTTTGGATATCTTCGTTGTAGCATATATTCCATCCATCCTCCATTAATGGCACTAACGAGCTTGACAAATGAATTTACTACATTTACACTCAATAAGCCATTAGTACCGATAATGGTGGTTGTAAGAACATCATCAAAACATAAGGGCTAACATAAAAAACTCTTTAGCGACGGAAAACGGACATGAAAATCCATCGCTAATCTTTGACGTCGCCAATAGGCCGTCGCTATATGTTGGTTTGTTTTTTTTAAAAATAGATCGACGGAAAATTCGTCGCCAAATAGCCGTTGCTGACCTTTAGCGACGGTATTTCCATCACCAAAAGTCCAATTAAGGACCCTCAATGCACCGACGGTTATTTAACGACGGAATTTGTTTTTTTTTCTGTTGCTAAAAGATATAGCGATGGTTTTTCGACCTTTTGCGACGGATTTGTCCGGCGCTAAAGAGTCTAAATCCAGTAGTGTTTGTTCTTTAAATACTAAAGAAATTAAATATTAATATTATAATCTAAGGCAAACTAGCAATGAAAAATGTAGATATTTAGTTTAGATCTTTGTGGAAAATAACAGAGATAGTGAAAAGATAATATTATTGACATAACAGAAACTCATATTGGATGCACATCAGAAGAATTTATTATAGAGAAAAAGGTAGCTCCTAATCTTATTTAAGTAATAAATAAATTAGGAATACAAAGAATTTTATATATATAAAATTAATATTTATTCTTATTGTAATAAAATAAAATCAAAGTTTATATTTCAAGAAGTTTGTGTTGAACATCAGAAATACATTTAACTTTTTTTTGAAGTTAAACGAGAAGATAAAAGATTAATGAGCCTAAGAAAGATAACAACACAAAAAATACAACTCTAGCCTGATGTCATAATCGATATAGATGATGAATGCACTACTCAAGAATTGCTCAGGAAAAAGATAAAAGTGAAGAAGGATTAACCTTAGCTCAATAAAAAAATAAAACAGAAGGAATAAAAGATAATATTTTTTGAATATTTTATAGAATCGTTTAATTATTTTGAGTGAAATTAGGAACCTTTAGAAGGTAGTTTTATAAACTTTTTTAGTACTTTTATATGCTTATGTGGATACTTTTATATATAAAAATATACTAGAGTTAGCATTAATCTTTAGTTTATAAATTTTTATGAAGTCTATCAATAATTAGGAATAAACTTTATATTCTCTTTTATATCGTTTTAGTATACTTTAAATCAACCATTTTGTCTTATTGGTTTTAAATATCCACCTTCCTTGTATAACACTATTTTAATATTTTTTTACTTTTGCAACACTGTACTTTCTTAAGTAAAACTTGGTTTTATGTCAGTCAAAATAATATGAAAATTCAAATTAGCTTTAAATTATATTTATTTTCTGTCAATTCAAATATCAACATAAAAATTTAAATTAGGTGTGAACCGTTTAAACGGACATCAAAGAGAATAAATAATCATAATATTAAAATTTAAAGATAAAAGTAAGTACAAACTATTAAATTAGAACTAAAGAACAAATTTTAATTAGAAAATAAGCTAAAAATATTTAATCACGTGCACTACAATCCACGTGTATAAAACCTAATAATAAATAAATAAATAGAATGTACGATTGCGGGCAGCTTGAGGATCCCGCGCACGGCGACCGAGTTCCTATTCATAAACAAAGCGCACCTCCACAATTCTCATCCCCTCTCAATTTCTCCCCCAATCGCTCTCCTAAAACCCTAGAAACCAACCCAAAAAGGCGACACCTTTCCCCTCCCCCACTCAATGGAGGAGGCCAAGGGCAACGCTGGACCTCCCTCTAGGGTTTTCGTCGCCGCTGCTCCGCCTTCTTCGTCGGCGAGGGATTCAAAGGAGTCGTTGTCGTCAGCGAAGCGGCATGTGTACTCGGTCGAATTGTATCCGGAGAAGACGACGATCGTTTCATGGAAGAAGCTTCTCAAGGAATCCAACAAGGGGAGTGTGAATCCTCATGATTCAGTTAGCGCTGATGCGGCTGCGGTATGATCTTTTTCCTTCTCAATTCTAATTTGGTTCTTGCTTTGATTGGTTGCGGTTAGGTTTTCTTTGCTAGGGTTTTAATATTTCGGTATTAAGTTCTGCGAAAAGCCCTCTAATCCGGGGATGGATCCATAGCCTAGCTAGGGGTGCAGTTGCACCCTAGACATTTACAGAATTACATGCATTGCCATGTAATTTTTACATCCGCCTCCCCATATATTTTAAAAATTGCACCCAAGGTATCTAAAAACACTAACGAATTTAACAATTGAGTTAAGCAATTAGAAAGTAAAAGTCCTTTTATATTTTCAACAATCAACAATAAAGTATACTAATAAAGTATACTAAGTACATTCACATCAAATACTATAGTTTTATAATATTACAATTTTATTTTGTGGTAAATAGACACATGTTGTCCGCCCTCGTGAGAAAAATTTTATGGATCCGCCCCGCTCTAATCTAAAATAGTTATTAAATCGTTATGTTTTTAAACATCTTTGGGGGTAAAACTTTACGATGCGTTTAAGAAGATTATATTTTACAAATGCACACAACTACTTTGTTATGGTCTATACTTTTGGAGTTGGGAGTGTAGACCTTTTTGTACAACCGTGGCCATGCAAGCAGCCTGGAACTCTAGTCATTAGAGATTCATACTTGAGGGGTTTATCAAAAAAACTGATGTAGGCGCTTATTTTAAATCTGTAATTACCTTCTCATTTTTACTTAAAAAACGTGAAACTTAGGAAATTACGGTTGGTTGGCTTTCCGACAAGAATTTCAGTCTGATACATGGCATGGATATATATTCATATAACTTCTGTTAACTTAGTGTTGATTGTTTGTCTTGATTGTTATATTGTTTAATGGAGTGAGTTATTTTAATTAGTATTAGATGGTGGCCTTATTTTGCATATGTTGCCAAATAGCTAACATGAGATAGTGAATTTTGGCTAGAATTTAGAAATCTTTCTAGTGGGCATTGGTAAATGCATTATTGACTATTAAGATGCAGTTGCACAATTGATCATGCACACTACGCCACTAAGCAATGGCAATATACATTTTATGTAGGATAAATGCAATAATAATTGTGCATTTGATGCCAGATTGTCATAAGGCAACAATTGCATACCCCAAGTGACAGCAAAGTGAAGATTGGGGGTTCTCTATATGGCTTTCTAGGGAGATCCTATGAAAGATTCCAACCCAATAATCATTTAGTATATAGTGCAAAGTGAGAAACCTATGTAGTGACCAGTGAGATGGAAATTCCTTTCTATATACAAGTACCATGGTTAATATAATATTCTTAGTAAATATTTTTATATGGGAGCTTGTTGAGATTTGGAGAAATGAGTTTATTGGAGAGAGTTTTCCTCACTCAATACTTTATTATTTATAGAGATTGATTAGTTATAAGTTAGTCTCAAAGGCATTATGAGATTAAACCAATGCTAAACTAATACTCTCTTCTAACACCCCCCTCAAGCTGGAGCATATATATCATGCATGCCCAACTTGTCACTAATAAGTTAACCCGTGTTCGACCAAGTGGTTTTGTAAGAATGTCTGCCAACTGATGTACTGTCGATACATGTTTCGCCGTGATGTTGTCCTCAAACTTCTTGCGGATTACATGACAGTCGACTTCAATGTGCTTGGTTCTCTTATGAAATACGGGATTCTCATCAATGTGAATTGCTGATTTATTATCGCCATATAGATCCATGAGACCTTTTGGAGGGAGACCAATCTCTGTCAATAGGTCTTTTGATTCAAACCATCTCTAGTGTCACATTTGTCATAGCTCTGTATTCTGATTCTGCACTGGATCGAGACACAAGACTTTGCTTCTTACTTTTCCATAACACCAGATTTCCTTCAAAGAAGACATAATATACAGTAGTCGATCTCCTATCAAAAAGACATCCAGCCCAATCTGCATTAGAGAAGCCTGCAATTCTGGTGTGTCATTGATCTGAGTAGAGAAATCCTCGTCCTGGAGCCTTCTTCAGGTACCTCAAAATTCTCATTACTGCATCCAAATGAGTAGTTCTTGGTGCGGATAAGAACTGACTCACAGCACTGACTGCAAATGTGATGTCAGGTCTGGTCACCGTCAGATAATTTCGTTTCCTCACCAATCTCTTATCTTGCCCAACATCCTCAAAAAGCTCCCATTGGTCTGGTAGTAGTTTTGAGTTCACATTCATTAGAGAATCACTACTTCTGCATCCTAACATCCCGGTTTCTGAAAGCATATCCAGGACATACTTCCTTTGTGACAGAAGAATACCCTTCTGTGACTTTTTAAATGCCTAGGAAGTATTGTAGGGAACCAAAATCTTTGGTTTGGAAATGTGTTTGTAAATACTTTTTAGGCTGTCAATACCAGAAGCATCATCCTCGGTAATTACAATTTCATCCACATAGACAACGATCAGAATTTGTTTCCCAATCTGAAATCGTCAGAAGACAAAGTGATCTTTCTATGCACGATAAAGCCCAAATTCCTGAATAACCAATGCAAAACATCCAAACCAGGCTCTTAGAGACTGCTTCAGATCATAGAATGATTTCTTCAGCCTACATACCTTCGCATTCTCCCCCTGAGCGACAAAACCTGGTGGTTGCTCCATGTAAACCTCCTCATCTAGAATACCATTAAGGAATGCATTCTTGATGTCCAACTAATGAAGTGGTCAGTGATTTGTCGCTGCTAACGAAATAAAAATCCGGACAGATGTTATTTTTGCCACCGAAGAGAAGGTATCTACGTAATCCAAGCTATCCTCTTTTGAATAGCCTTTAGCAACCAGTCCGGCTTTCTGGCGTGTCAAAGTTCCATCAGGATTTAACTTGACAGTGTACACCCACTTGCAGCCTACGGCCCACTTTCTTTGTGGGAGTGAGACTAAATCCTAAGTCTCATTCCGTCGCTAGGCCCTCATTTCGTTCTACATCTCTTGGTTCCAACCTGGAATAGATGGGGCTTCTGACACATTCTTGAGAATCAAATATGAGTCGAGTGAAGTAACAAAAGATCGAAAGGTAGAGGAGAGGCGATCATAGGAGACAAAGTTAGAAATAGGATGTTGAGTACAAGTGCGCGTCCCTTTTCGAAGTGCAATAAGAAGGTCTTCCCCAAAATGGGGTAAATATACACTTACGGAATCAGGTTCTTTAGGCGGAGGACGTGGTGCTGAGGTCGACGTTAGCACAGGAGCAGGAGCAGAGCGACGATGATGAACTTGAATTGAGTCGTTAAACCAAACGGAGTCTTTGCCAGTAGTGCAAAGAGTATTATCAGCGGATGAATCACCACCGATAACTAATTCCGCAGGATCAAATAGTTATACTCATCCGGTAATAATGGAGATGGAGAACTAGAATGACTGGGTTTATCTTCGAAGAAGGTTACATCAGCAGATAACACAAAGACGATTGAGTGACGGACAGAAACACTTATAACATTTATGCTTTCGAGAATAACCAAGAAAAATATCTTTAATAGACCAAAAATTAAACTTTTGTTTATTTGGACTGTGATTATGACCAAAACACAGAGAGCCAAAAATCTTTGGAGGAAACAGAAAGATATCATCGTTGGGGTATAGAATCTTGGAAGGAATTTTATCTTGCAGAACAGAAGAAGACATTCGATTAATCAAGTAACATACTGTTAAGATAGCTTCTCCCCAAAATTCTTTGGGAACGTGACGATGGAATAGCAAGGTCCGAGCAATATCAATAAGATGTCTACTCTTTCGTTTAGCAACTTTATTTTGCTGAGTGTAAACATAAGAAAACTGATGGAGGATCTCATGTTGTTCAAGGAAACTAGTAAAGTTGTCATCCAAATATTCATTTGCATTATCAGATCGAAATTTTTTTATCGAAGACTTGAATTGATTGACTATTTCAGAATAAAAGAGTTTAAATGTGGAAAAGACTTCAGACCTAGACTCGAGAAGATAAATCCAGGTAATACGAGAGTGATCATCCACAAAATTGACAAAGTACCGAAACCCCAATTTAGAAGTTATTGGGCATGGCCCCCAGACATCAGAATGAACAAGATCAAATGGCTTAACAACCCTCTTATTGACTCGATTAGGATAAGACACGATTGTGTTTGTCAAGTTGACACGACTCATTCTAATGAGGAAAGAGATTTGAATCGGGGATTAAGCAGCTTGAGAATAGAGAGGGATGTCTTAGCTGACAATGGTATTGTAGGGCTAATAAGTTTCCGATACAAACCAAATATTCGACGCCCAATTCCAGTTTATAATGGCCGTTCTGCTCACGTCCTGTTCCAATCGTTTTTCTCATGACCAGATCCTAAAAGACACAATGTGTGGGAAAGAATGTCACTATACAATTTAGAGATTTTGTGATCTTACTAACAGATAAAAGGTTATAGGGAAAACTAGAAAGATAGAATACGAAGGAAAGAGAAAGATTAGGAGTAGGATTGGTGTTGTCGATATCCTAAACAGGTGTACGTGAACCACCAGCTAATATAACTGAATTAGATATAGGGCTAAAAGATGACAAGATACATTGATTTTCATTCATATGATCAGTGACACCTAAAATCTATAATCCAAGTATTAGACAAAGACGATGTAAGTAAAGATAAAGGGGTATCTGCATTTTTGAGAGTAGCGGATAAGGAGGAAGACGATGTTTGTGAACTCTGGTACTGTTGGAATAATTAAAATTGCTGAAATTGATGCTGCAGCTCCGCATCATAAAAGACTGACTGTAGTTGACTTTCACTATCAGATGAGGTGAAGTTGTCTTGAGCGGTCATGTAAGCACCCTTAGCCTTCTTCTTTTCTAATTCAGGACAATTATATTTGAGATGTCCTGACTGGTAGTAATATTTACAAGTTTTCACTGCGTCATCGTCATGAGTATGTCCACCTTAAGATGGACATCCACGGCCACCTCGTTGACCACCTCGGCTCCCAGAACGATCAGTGTGG